CTCTCCATAGAGGCACCCCTCCAACCCTACCTGGGGGAAATAGTGTACCTGCCTCAACTCTTTAGGATCTTCCTCTCCATAGAGGCACCCCTCCAACCCTACCTGGGGGGGGGGGGGGGGGGGCTGCTGTTAATTCTGTGTAGGTTTTAAAAGTAAAAGCGCCATTGTGGGTGAGAGGCACTCATGACACGTTGACGGGCGGGTTTCCTCACACCCGTCTTCAGACGTGTGACGTCTGGCAGAGTGTGACAAAAGTACAGTACATTTCCATGGTGCCTCTCTGGAAGCTGAACAGTCTATTTTAATCTGACCTGGAAATGCCAGTTATACTAACATATTACTATTGTAGAGTGCATAGTGAATGAAATGCATACATTCAATACTAGTCCTTCGCCATTGTCTGGGTGGAAAAACTATCAGGGTTGGTCATTTACAGCAAGCTCACATAACCATATACACATAAACTCATACACACAGTCTCTCTCCCTCAAACACACACGTTTGTATTCACATGTTTGTGGGGACCGTCTATTAATTTCTATGGGAAAAACAATGATAACTCCTACCCAGCCCTAAACTTAACCATAAGTAACCAAGCAAAATACAAGTCTTTTGGCATTTTTAGTTTTTTGATTGCATTCACAGATCTTTGTAGAGACCTGAAAAATGGTCCCCACAATGTAATATAAACCTAATCCACACACACACATACACACACAATCTGGTCAGGGATGAACCCAGGAATGTGCGTATGGTATATACTGTGTCCAGTTCATGGCCACCACCAACCACAGCCCATTGTGAGAGCTTCCCACAGGCCACGGGTTTGAGTCTGGCAAACCAGTGCAATCCCAGGCCATAGACTGACGGAACGCATGCTGGCAGCAGGGTTTAAAGCCCCCACGTCGACAGACAGCCGACACCGTCACGCTCATCCCTCCATCCCTCTGCTGGATTGACCAACAGAGTCACCTGGATAATCCCAGGGAAGTCCGCGGTCCTGCCTGTGATCGCAAAACCTGTCACCATGTCCCCACCATCACAGGGACACTTTTCTTTGATTATGGGGATTAGAAGCATGTCTGATCACACAAATGTCACCCTAATGTCGTTTATTCACATGTACATTGCTGACACGGCTGTACAAGTCAAAGCACAAATTACATAATGAAATAAAAGCAATAATAGTAGTAACTATTTTTAGGTATTTTTGACCAGTTAACTGGAGAAACTGGAGACTGAGGAGCTAAAAGACAGAGTCATCTGGTTATAAATTTGCTATCTTAGTCAGTATACTGCCACCCAATGTGGTATTCATCTCACAAGCTGCACATGAAAGGTGAGTGATCATTTAATAAAAATTTACAGGACCAGACAGAAAAGCAGACAAACATCTTCAAGTCTTGCCACAGGATCTCAGTCAAATTCAACTGTGGCCACTATAACTTCAGGTTATTTGACAGCCGAATCATCGTCCCAGTCTTTAGAAGGTTGATCCAGGCTTCCTCCACCCCCCTCAAGGTCTTTTTCTCCTCTTTATACTAAGACCCACAGCCCTTGCTGAGGAGAATGACACCCAAGGCATGAGACTGCCTTTACCACACTTCATAGCATGGATGATGCTCTCAAGGCGATGGTCTGCATCCACTGGGATGATGCTCTCAAGGCGATGGTCTGCATCCACTGGAATGATGCTCTCAAGGCGATGGTCTGCATCCACTGGGATGATGCTCTCAAGGCGATGGTCTGCATTCACTGGACCCCCAAACACTGGGCAGGCCCATATTTAATAAAAAAAAAAAAACGATTAGGCCAAGAGTATTTCTTGCATATTTTCACTCTTCAGCTTGGCTTTTGGCAACTTCACAGCCAGATTTCATGCTGGCTTTATTGCAGAAACGGCCCTCTTCATGCCAGTTCTTTGTGAGCTGTTGTGGACGTGCAGACTATGAAAGGCTGGAGGTATTTCAGCCATGCGTGTTGGTATTTTGAAGGCGTTATTCAGGGGAACAACCTGTTCTCTGCAGATTCTGGATGGTGCCACATGTGTCCACACTTCTGAAGTTCAATTTGCCCCATTCGAGGGTTTTACACACACCCCTCCCCCAGCCTGAGTCTTCCCACAACTTACGTTATCCGAAAAGCTGCTTAGTCTGTATATAATCAAAAATATTAAAGTCAACCGGACACAAATAAACTTCATTTCATTTTAAAAATGTGGGCTATGGGAGAGTACTGTCAAACAGAATCAAACAAAAAATGTTTAAATGACATTAAATATGTCAAAGTCACCCACTAACACAGCAAGGTGTGGTTCTTCATACAGACACTTATATGCTATTTATTTACATTTCAGAATAAGCTGCATATCATTACACTGAACCAAAGCGATACCATAATCCACCTTGTTTCTAACCATTCAAATCACCTCAGCAAGAAACCAGGCTGGGAAAATCAACAAAAGATGAATCCTGCAGACTTTGGGTGGATACCAGCAGCAGACGCACGGGAAGCACTTGCTGTCCGTCTTTGTTTTGTCACGTTATGCTACAAGATCACGCGCGCAATTCTTGGCATTTCACTTCGAATATGGTTGTGGCTGCCATATAAATACTCAGGCTGTTGTGCATTATATACGTCATCAGACCTCTGTGAGGACAAAACCCCTTTAAAAGCACTTAATTTAATTATATTGCACTCTGCATCGAATTCTTGATTCTGCCAAATGCCGTATTTGTGAGCTTTTGCCAATGACACAGTGAATGTACATTATTTGTAATCGCGTAGTACCACATGACACCAGATCGCAAATTCTTGTAATTTAGTCAAAGGCTGTAGGTTTCACGGTCGTTAAATTTAATTATTATACGTAATTAAATTACACGTAACGGCACATAATGGCCTGTGCAGGTGTATGGGTAGACGGTGCAGAAATCGTTTTCCTCACGTCAGTGCATCTTCACTCTAGA